TTTTTTTATCATAAGTGGACGGGATTTTTGGGGCCTCTATGATCAATCTTGCCGTTCTTTGTAATAAGCATACCAGGATACCCGTTCTCGCGAAACTATTCCTGTATCTTTCTAAGCTCCTTATCGCTGCTGTTTGACAAACGAAATTTTCTATTCATTGGCGCCAAATAACAGATTAGATTGTGTTTTTCTCATGTAGGATAGAAAACTGCCGCGGTCCTTATTTTATCCAGACCAGGTTTTCTTCTAATTTGACTCCGCTTCTGCTCCCTAGAATCGTTTTTATCTGCCTGCGTTATCGAGACCTGCTTTTTTGGTAGATATTTATTTCCTATAATGCCTCAAGGCCCTCCCTTCCGTAGCTCTACTCGGCTCTGCATCAGGGCAATGGAATTCGTCCCCACGGATTATCTATTTTTGACTCTCCTTGTTGAAATATTTTTTGAACATCCACTCTTTACTTTGAAGAAGCAGTGCCTGTAGCGTTTTGCCCCTAAAGTGGCATCGCTGTCGCGGCCGGGACCCCCACTGTAACAAAGTAAAGGAAACAAAAGTGCAGCATCATCCCTGTCCAGCACTGTATTGCCAGTGTGGAGGTTGCCACCGACCAAGCGGCATTACAAGCCGCTAAACCTCATTAGCCACCATCGTAAACATGCAGTTGTAGTGATATAACCCTTCATAGGTAAGGCATAGGAAGGACGACCGGAATAGTGCATACACTTTTTTTTACACTGTTCTGATAAACACTTTAGGCATCGTTTGGATTTTTTGTTCGTTTCGTCTATCACCTCAACTCTACCTTTGTACAGTTATCGTGCTTTGTAGCGCAATCAATGGATTTGCGCTTTATCTTGGTTGCCATTAAACCAGCCTAGGTTTCTGGTGCTTTCGCTGACGAGTGTTCGCCGTCCAGTGGGACTGAACGGACTGCTTTGTTTGTTTTTTTTTTCACACGAACTTTGGCTAAGGGGGACAGAAAGCCGTACTTAACTTATCTAGGAAAGTTTGAGGACAACAGAACTGCGGCTAAAGTCATTGGCTGGCGTGTTTGCATCAGGAGGCAGGTGGGTTTGCATGTACAGTTATTCGAGTGCTGCATGCAACAGGCCTAAGTTTGTAAAAGTTTGACCATTACTCGCATGCCGGTGTGAAGGCATTTTTCGAAAACTTAGAAATAATAATGAACAACACTAGGCAAATTTAAAACTTGAAAGAAATATAAGAAGAACTAAGCGCTTGTTAAGAAAAAGAAAATTTTCTCGATAATTCTGGAGACGAAAAATGGCTATAAATTAGAACAATAGATTTAAATATTTTGTTAAGTTGAAAACTTAAAGCAACCACTTTCTTTATATAAAAAGAACTTTTTTAGTCCAAATATTTTGTACATGTTACCATTAGTGGATAACTATTTATTAAATACCGTGGAATAAAGTCTGTCATCATTTCACTCGTTTTCAGTGTCTTCATTCATAAGTTGATAAATTGCGCTTCTTTTCGACGTTTACATCAAAACCCTTAAGATAAGATAAACATAAAGAGTATTTGCCGAAAAAAATGAGTTTTTGGAAATTAGTTCTTATGAATATGGCCATGTGGATCATATTTACAAATGCCTCAAAACGGCAAACCGCATTGTCGAGAATGCG